CACCTTACCGAACGATTGGCCATAGCCTTCATGCCTTGAATCTATTGAACATTGCTTTCTACGGCGGATTGTTGTATTTGTACGGAAAAGATGACAGTAGTGGCATTATGTTTGACCCAGCTTGGTTGAAAGAAGGATTCTGTTTGCCAGACGAAACAACCCCGTTTTGGACGACACACGATCAAAGTGGCTATCTCATGGTGATCATGGCACTCTTGGGATTGACCATTCGGCATCATCTTTCAAAGAAGACGAACTCAACAATGCCGCCTAGGGTTATACGAGTCTCAGAACAAGCCGATCAATTGACCTATTGGGCACTGTTGGGAGCCTTGGGACATGCGAGTGGTCACTTTCTTCTATCCAATGCCAAGCGATACCAATTCTTGCCTCCCGGTGATGTCACCTTTCTCGACGACCTCAGACAGAGCTCTTTTTTGGTCGGATTGGGCAAAGCGGGTCCTGGATATCCCTTGTTTTGGATTCCCTTGGTAAAGACCTACATGCGAAATACAGCTGGAAACCGTGTAGCGCTCATTGCTCTGCTCATCAATGTCGGCAGTCTGATTGTGCCATCCCGCTTTGGGTTCTCCTACACTCAAGCCGTCTTGTTTGGTGGAATGAGTATAGACCAAATCTTCTTTGTACCGCACGAGAAGCAACAAACTTTGGAATACGCACTTTGGCCTCTGATGACGACCTTGCCGAATGGAGCCTGGGCCTGGTTCGAGTGTATGGCGTGTAGCACCAATCCATGGATGATGCAATATGGCCACATTCTCTACGATGCATATATGGTATCTTCTTACACTCTCTTCTACTTGTTCTTTTGGTGGATGGAATACCGAAAACAACAACAACAACAACAACCTGGTTTGGATGTTGTTGATGCCAAGAAGGTGATGTAAGCGTTCATAACTTGCTGGGTACGATCCTTTCGTTTGTCATCATACAATTGACAGAGGCAAGATAGTAGATAGTATCATAATGTAGAAGTATAATAGACCAAATCACAATATGTACTCTGCTGGTAGCTCTTTGAATCTAAGACAACAAAGCTCGATACAATCATTGTTTTGAGACATCTGATGGAAACAATTCGGGGCAATGTTATGACAGCCCGGCACATGCAGCAACTGATATAATTATTTTGGAATCACACACCAATAACCATTGTGGGAATATTTACGCTTTAGATGAAATATTATGTACTCGCTGGGACGTGTAGGGCTTATAGCCCCAACTGCGGTCCCTCTAATGGCCGGTAGGGATGGTGATTGCTGATACGATGTGGCCACAGGTCCCTTCCAGCCCAAGCGAACCCAATTTATTTGCTGATTGGCAAAGGAATGGATTGCTAGTATGTAGCGAGCGTCCTTGGTATGGTTCTTTCGAATCCGTTCCGTTCCGTCAGCAGTAATAATATAATGAAGACAAAGTATCAATGCTATTCGCAAATGGATATACAAATAATCTCAATACACTATTAGCTTTATATGGAGATTTCATTTTACCCACTTGATAAAGACGCGCCGCAATTCCCAGGCGGTAAACAAGAAAACTCTCCTCTTGGTGTTCTCATCCGTAATGTTCGTGATCTCGACATCCTTCAGTTTCTGCTACCTGTGGCTGTTATCGACCGAGCAGGGTAGAACTACTTGGCATACCGAAACGATACGATCGACAATATTAACCGTCTCGCTCTTTCCACACAACTGCCCAGTCTCTGGATGTTCAGCAAGACTTTTATGTTCCGCAGGTATCTTGGACCCCTTTCTCGTATGTAAGGTGGGTATGCAACCGAAAAGCCTACAATGAGCCACATCGCTACTATGGCCCATATTGACGCTGCTCTCATTTGCGGCATTTCGGTTTCATATTTGGAATAAGGTTGGAGCAATAATGTAAGAATGCAAAAAGTACTGCAACCAACACTAAGCATCCCCAAAGTCATCGCGATCCAGTGAAGTCAATATAATACA